AACTTTTTCTTATAAATCCATATTATTATTTATATTAACTGAACAAAGCTTTAATTAAAGATATCTATCTCTAATTAAAGATATAATATAAGATATAATCGTAATTCAAAAAATATTCACTCAAGTTTTCTGGTTTTCCATTAATTGGTGTTTAATTAGTGTTTAACTACTTTAATTCCATTAAAATTGTTAAACACAAATTAATGTTAATTAATTATTGATTCACCGAGAAAATCTTGAGTTATAAACGACAGGATACGGAGAAATGTCAGTGAAATTGCGATGAACAATTCCGTGAGTCACAAACATAAATATCCCGGAAAAATCGAGATTTCGATTTCCAATGGTGTATTTTGGAATAAAATTTGTTTCTCCCCTGATACCTTCTCCAGGAAGGTGTACACAGGATCCAGAAGTTGATGGGAACCGTAGCGCCCCTGTATTCACATATTGTGCCAACAATTAGGTGAAAGGCGCTCCCATAAAAGCTAGTGTATTTTAGTACCCTGTGTTGGTTTATACCAGGTACTTGGGATTTAACTAGCTTCCAGTTTACGGTTCGAAGGAAACAGACCAGACATTTAATATCGTTTATTAAGTTTTCCAGTGAGAATTGGTCTTGAGGATGGAGCACATCAGGTGGTCTAGTGATGCTGGATGATATTTTTTTTACGTAATGCAACTCGTGGTTGCTCCAGGCGTCTCTCGTGCAGAATGGGATTTCAGATTTCAAATGATGATCACCATGGAGCCTCACTTGGCTGCTGCGGTAGTAACCTTTAGGACACCTTTTCAATCCCACCTTTTCCCTGTTCACTAATGCATCTATCATTTTTTTCATATTGCTATTGAGGTGAGGATAAATATCAACGAGGGATTTGCAAATTTTATATTGTTACCAATTGCTTATTAATTACACTCTCCCCCTTCGAAGTTCAAGTGGTTTTCCTTTCTTCAAATTATCCTTTTCCACCCATTCCTTCTCCGTTTCTGATGTTCATAAACTATTTATTTTAATCTACCAATCCTTCAATGTTTATATTAAATAACAAATAGTTCTCACCCCTCGGTAAAACAGAAGCAATATGTCCTATTAAACCTTTTATTTATGAAAATTAATTAGATAATATTATAGTAGTCATGACAGGTATCTCCAATGAAATCTTTAAATCAGAAAAAATTCTAGAGATTTTTTGAGAAGGTGAGGGTCAACGACTCCTCGATTTTCCATGTAATACATATGCAAATAATTACATGTGACATATCGCATTTTTTCCGCATAAGCTTATAAAAATAAATCTTCTAAAATACCTATAATGCATGCATATATACAATTCATATATACATACATATGTAACAATTTCTGAAATTTATTTTTTTTTAATAAAATTTTACTTGCGCTTTCATAACACAACGAAAAGGCATAAATGAATATATTGAATATATCAATATATCATTACACATTTTATTTATAAAATAAATTTTTTCATGTGCCCCCACTAATAATAATGATATGTAATATATAATTAGTATATATTTCGCATGTACAGCGGTTTCACATGCCGATTATATCGTAGTGATGATACTCTAATTAAAGTAAAAAATCAATGGTGGAGATAATTTGTTAGAGATAATGAAAGGTTCTGTGAATATGCGTTGAGCATTGATGTTCCATTAATACGACTATTACCTGGATTATTTTACCACGAACCCACGACCCCAAAACCTATCAAGCCTTGAGGTATTAAAACGGCCTCATGTCTAGGATATGAAGATACTAGTTGCACTGGGCGAAGTTCACCATACGCCTGCGGAGGTGAGAGCTCCATGGGAAGCTCCTGCCCGCTACCTTAGAACTCATAGCGAAAAAAAAATAAAGAGATAAAAATAAAAATATGAAATCCCAATGCAAGATAACCGCACGAGTTTCTATTTCAACTATTAGTAATAGACGCTTTTCACAAAGGTGATACGTCGTTGAAAAATTCATGGACATACATCACGTCTAATCCATTAGTGTGCATCAATGGATTTTAACGGTATGACTTCTTTTATAAGCGGATATGCAACTTGCTGCCAACTTGTATCAGTCCACGGTAAAAATTATTACCTTGCCTCTTAATACCTACCATTTGAGAATCGTGAGATACAACATTTGTATCTATTACGTTGTTTATATCCTTTTTTACGAATGCTGTGTTTCTTTTTAATTCTTTTTTTTTCTGAGATTTTATTCCTTTTTAATTCACTCCTCCGTTTGACACCAATTTACCGCCTCCGTTGACGTTAATTTCCAAACGCACAGGATTGTAAATAATAATGACTTTATGGGAAAATCGTGGCTTCCAGTGTTGAATAAAATGCCACCCACGTGGAACTCAGATAAGAGATAGATAATTCATGGTAATGCAATGCTCAATTTTTTTTTTGTCTTTCTCTGGTTTAATGTTTTCTTGGGTAAATAGTTTTTTCAATGATATTTTTTTTCACTCGTACGTAAGAATCCAATGATTCACTTACCCGTCGTAATGACTTGTTTCACTCTCCAAGATGAACCTCAAGTGGTGACTCCCAGGAGTATTACCCCCCTAGGCAATAATTATCTGTTTTTATTCGGTAATTGCGAGGAGCTTGAAGTATTCATTGCACCTAATGACTTCAGTGGATTATGCAAATGTAAGGGTCTATTACTTATGAAGAATACTGTGGGAAGGGTTTTTCATAAAGAAATATATCGAGGCATTAAGATTTACAAATTGTTATAATTAATAAAATTATTATCACTCCTAGTACTAGGTACAATGGGGCGGAAATAATACTAGAGCATGGACAAGGGAGATAGTATAATAAAAAATAAAATTTTCGAAAAACATTGCATACTCTCTAGACTTGATTTCAATGACGAGAGAATAAGTTTTTTTCAGGGCCAGAAGAAATGACTATCCAACTATTTTGATAATATTTATATAAAATAATAATATATGATTGATTGTATTATTTATATAATATAATAATATTAAAAACACAGTAAAGCTATTTACAAAGCGCGACTGCAGTCTCATTTTATTTTTTAACGTTAGAATTTTTATTCTCTGCTGTATTTTTCCTGTCGCGGCTCCTAAAATTGTCAGTTGAACAATTTTATTTTTTTGTTTCAAGAGATTATTCTTTTTTCTTTTTCGCTCAGGCTGATAAGCAATATCTCGATAGATCCTCGAGTCGCCACAACCGTCGACAAAATGTTCACATTATTTCACACGTCGTGGTAAATAATTAAAATCTTGAATAATGAAATCGGAGGAGATACCCTCGACTCACCGGTTTTTCAAAATCATAAACAATTTATCCCGTTAATTAATTTACCAGACAATCTCGACCTCGAATGAGTCCCTGGCCCGTCGTTTTAATCAACCAAAGAATATTTATATTGATCGAAAAATAGAATAAATAAATAAGGCATGTAAATTAATTAATAAAACCTAAATTGTCGGGCATTCGAGGTCGAAATCATAGCAAAAATTCAATGACTTTTTTTTCTGTTTTTTTTTTTTATCAAGTCCCAAACCGATGACGCAAAGGAAATTGATATCGACAGACATCGATTGACTGGAGCAAACGCGCGAATTAAAATCCAATTAATCATTTGTGGCCATTTCCATGCGATCGATTTAGATTGGCGGATGTGATAATTGTAGCGGCTAAAATACAAAGTGACAAGCGGAGACTTGCTGTTTACCCAGTGGAAACTGGACCGTACGGAACCCTCAAGACCACCATGTTGTTGATGCTTCTCTTGATCCGATCAAGGTCAGTCAAGCAGAAAATTATGGAAGAGTCTGCGTTTTGACGTGGATGTTATAGCAATTTTTTTTCATAATTTTTTTTGTGATAAGGCCCAAAATAGGATGTAGATTGCGAAATAATTTCATTAGGCCATCTCCATCTACTCAGTGTAATCCACGGAAAGTTGATTTTATCACTATAAACAATTGTAAGGCCCAAATAATATTCGTAAGGCCCAGCCTTTTGAATCCTGATTGATACTAAACGAATTTTCGGGTATCGCTATGCCCGCATTCCACTCGCTATCTTATCCGTTACCAGTGAATTTTGAGATAAGGCCCAATGGTATTGTCGATTAAGGCCCATTAAAAAGGCAAAATAATTTTGAATTGAATGATGTTGATGATAAGTTATCTGAATTACATTCATTTTTGTTTTCTCTCGAGGCAGATGTTATAATGACAAAAATTATTTTCTTTTGGTAAGGCCCGATAGTATTTGCAGCATTGCAAAATTAATTCAATGTTGTATTTGCTCTTTATCAATTCGCCATAATTTATGGACAAATTTTGATGAGATTCTCCATATAAAATTATGTAAGGCCCAAAATGGTGCTGGTGAGGCCCATCTTTTTAAATCCTGACTGACGTTAAACGGACTATCGGCTATCGTTATACTCGCGTTCCGCACGCAATCTTATCCAAAACCACTGAATTTCGAGATAAGGTCCAATGGTATTGTCGATTAAGGCCCATTCAAAAAGTAACATAATTTGAAATTCAATAATGATGATGGTAAATTATTTCAATTATATACCGCAATAATATGAGTATTCCTGCTTGAAGCACAGACATTACAGCCAGCCAAAGATGAGGCCCAAATGTCGCCTGGGGCCTGGGCGTGGTCCACAGTAGCCGTTCATTGCTACACTTCGGTAGCCAGGTTTCTCCATCCAGTCGGACGGCGGGGCCGCTTATTACGTAGTCCAATTTACGGATATCCGCCTCGAGGAATTCACCATATTGGGCCCAGGCGCGATGTAATAAGGCCCAAAAATAAATACAACTCCATATTTATCTGCGCATGGCTGTCGTTGTACAGATGTTACGAGAAGTGCGGGAGATTTTCTCATCGCGTCCAGATGATTTGGGACTTGTGGTCCCCCAAAAAAGGGTGACAACTCGGTGACATCTGGTGTTTCTTGGCATCTTTGTTTGTTTTTTTTTTTCTCCTCTCGGATTTCGTGGGGTTAAGGGGGTAAAGGGGGTGGGTTAGGAAATCTCGTTTTTTTTTTCTTCTTTTACTGGCGAGTAGAATTCTACAGATAGATATGATGTGGGGGAAATATAATGATGGCTTTATTAAAAAATCATCTACGGGAAAAATTGGGGGTGGGGATTAAGGGGAAGTCGGCTGGACATGGCATCTAGTACCTAGAGTAGCCATTCGAATAGCCATTCGAGTAGCCGTTGGAGCCCTTGTAAGGAACAGAGTGTATGCTCCTGGAACAGAGATTGACCGAAATATTGGGAATGAGGAACTGCTTTTCTAGCGCATGAGTAATTCATTCAATAATCATTTCTCCGTTAATTAGTAGATTTGTTAGAAGAGTGAGAGTAGAGTGCATGCTGGAACGAATCTACCAATTGGGTAGCACGGTGATCAAGAAGCGGGTAATTTGAATTATGAATATATATATTTTTTTTTCTTAGAGTAGGGAACGGGGGGAGGATCTGTGTACTCGTGTTATTGTATTCTCTTTTTTTTTTTTTGCCTTTTTTCGATAATTTGTTTTTGTTGTTGTGTGGAAGGTGCAGGGGGTTTCAGAGCTCCCGCTCACCGCCACCCACATCTACAACAGAACAGAAAACAAGACCACCGCCGTTACATACAAGATATCCATTAGTATATCCGCCGTAAATCGATGATTTATTTACCATCCCCCAAACTTTTACATGATTTTTTTTTTTTGACTCTTTGTCTCGAAAGGTCTCTTGCCTCTTGTCTCAGTATATTTGAGGCCATGATTTATTGTTTATGGTTATTCTATTCGCGAAATATCCGACAGGACCTTTGACCCAGTAAATATTTTCTCCTTACTCCCCTTGGAAATAGTTTTGCAATATTGCCGTTGAATTTTGAAAATTGTGAGCCCCTCCGAAGAAATCAGTTGATTAATTCATGCCAAATTCATTCCACAAGACACTAGAACTATATCAATTACTCCTCATTCGTTTTCTTCATCATTAATTGTGCAATTGAGTGAATTTCGTGCAGACCCATTAAATGTGCTATTCATTAAATATTAATGAGATTTATGTTACGTGCACGGGTACTCATTTTAATCGAATAAATGGAGATATCAGAATTGATATTTCGTGATGACAGTTTCGGATTTAAATCCGAATTATTCAAAAAATTACAATCCAATGAATATTTACAAATACAAATTTATAGTCCCGTTGAGGCATTGCTCATTGTCCGACGGTGAACGGAGGCGAATACACGTAGGTGCGGACAGCCGGAATAATAACGATATATTTCTATCCGAATAAAATCAAAAAACCAGCATCCAATTTAAAAAAAAAAAAATCTCCGCGAGAGCCCGTCGTTTTTCACTCGAAAACTTGACTATCGCGATTTGCCATTTTTTGACCATCAAAAAACGAGAAAAACAAAAAAAAAAACTAGAAATAAAAATTGCGAGTCATCAGACCGGTTTTTCCCGTGAATAAACCAACAATAAAAAAAATCTATCGATCTATCGATCACCTGTTGACAATTGTCCGAAATAATTTCCCACGGTATCCAAAATGAAATCACAGCACTCGATCAACCCCGATCTTCCACCAAAAAAAAAAAAAAAAAAATCCTCACCTCAATCCTCGCCACTCGAACCCGAAACTGTCATCAATCACTAGCCGTCGGGCCGCACTTTTCCCCACAAAATAAACTCCCCAAATAACAGGGAGTCACTGAATTAAAAATTATCACAATCCGTACCAACTCACTGACTGAACACAATCAGCACCAATTAAATTCACTGATGACAAGAAAATACACTAGCTGTACAAAATCATAGAAATTTCTCGACACAAAACCATAGTAAAAACAACTAATTAGTGGATTTTCTTGAGAGTAAATTTATTTGATCTTACATTTAAGGGAAGAGAGAGAAAAAAAAAAAAAGATTACCTGTGCTGTTTGAGATTGTCCTGTCGTTTGAAGGACTTTCCGCAGACCTCACAGGTGAAGGTCACGTCGTCCTTGTGACTGCGCTCATGTATCATGAGGTTATAGGGCTTGGTAAAACGCCGCTGGCAGTACTTGCAGACGAACTCGACTGTGCACTTGGCGCGCATCTTCTGCCGGCGGCCGAACTCCCTGCCGTGCCCCTCTGTCTCCATCGGCATTATCGCGAACATCCTTATAAATTCCCACCGCTCCCTCGTTCACGAGACCTCAACAGACTTGACTATACGCCTCTCTCACTCTCACTCTCTCAACCAATCTTCCTATCTCTCTCTCTCGTCCTCCTCTCTCCTTTTCCGTCTATTGCCAAGTGGGTACCTATCCCACCTCCTTCAGCGATTTTTTTTTATTCCACTTTTATTCTCTCTCTTTTTTCTTTTTTCTCAGCCTTTTTTTTCCTTTTTCTTTATTCTCTTTTTTTCTTTTTCCTTTTTCCTCAAGTCTGACTTTTCAAACGGATCACACCGTACGTCTGACACCAGCCAAATATTTTCCTCCTGCTCCCACCACTTCGATCTTTGATGGTATTATTAGCACGAGTGAGTGATTAGTTCTTTGATTTTTCTGGTGATCTTTGTTCTAGGTTGGATGGAGTCAAGGATTTCACGGGGTTGCATCCGCTGTTGGCTACCTGGGGAACATGGGAATAACTAATCAGTCGCACTTTGTTGCTGGGTGAATTATTCATTGGGTGAGATTGTCAATTGCTATTTGTATCTCGGATTGATTTTTACAGTCGATTGGTTCACTCTTGTAAACAGCTGAGATCATTGAGGAATTCATTTTAAACCTGGGACTTTGAGCTGTGATTTTTCAAGGGGCAATTGGCCGAAATAAATTTCTAGAGTTGATTTATCACAGCTCATTCTCCCATCGCCAAATCCCCTAGATTTATAAGTGTCTGATCATAGAATTCCGTGAATTCCTCGTTCAATAAAAAAATAGTGTGGTAGCTACATAACAGTGATTTCGTCGCGATTAGATTGAAATTCCTTCACTTCCAATGTTGAAACAATTCCAAAAGAAAAAATGGAAAATAAATGTATAAAATGTGTATAGAGGATATCCCGCATCGCTGGGGAATTCCGACGGCTGTGGTAGATAAGAAAAAGATCAGTCGTTCGGTTTAACCAGCATCAGTAGTATATCCTATCAGATTTGGGTAGCTTGGAATTTTGACTGGTGACAATTTCATCTCAACTTCCGAACCTAAAATCAACCTATCATCCTTAATTGCCACCGTCTTCACCAATACAACTGAATATTAAGAGGAATCATAAAAAATGTGAATGAGAAAACCTTCAACCTGAAACCCACGGAGTCATTAAAAAAAAATCCAAGGCACTCTCCGGTGTACACGTGGGCGTTTCCATTAGTTTCTCTTAAAAATGCAAAACCCATCAGGTATATAAAATAATAAAATAAATAAATTGAAGAAAAAAAAAAACCTCATCTAAATGGGCCATTTCACCCACAGATATCTAACAAACACCCAACGAGCCCACGAAATCAGTGGGAAAGAGGTGCGCGCGAAGAGCATGTTCAAGGGATACCCAAAAATTCATTGTACTCTTCTTTTTTAGAAAGCTACCGGCGGGCATATAAGGTGCGCACACTCGAATAAAGTGGCGTGTCCGAATGAGTAATAAGCGTGCCGGGGCGTAGCCCAGTTGGTTAGCAAAAGGCCTAACGGCGTTCGTCTCTAATTGGACAACTGGTGTTACGCACGCTACTGGAGATTCCTTTTTCTCTTCATTTGGCCTCTCACTTCGTCCAGCATCATCCCCACCACCTGACAAATCATCTCGATGATTCCTTTGAATCACCTGGAGATCACCAGAAGATCATTACCTACACCAGAACCTAGATCATCACCTAGACAATTACCTAGACCATTACCTAGAACATCAGCTAGACCATCACCTGGACCAATACCAGGACAATCACTCTAGATGATGATCATTAGCTAGATCATGACATGGAGCATTATTCACATGATCGAGCAGATAACCTAGATCAATTAGATCAAACAGATAAAATAGATCAACTTGATCAGCTAGACAATGACCACGAGATTTAAAGTGTAACCATGAAGACAACAATGGCGCACAGCCATGTGAATTCCCCTGAGTGGATAAACACAAAAGAAATGAGGGGAGACGACGCGTGTAGATGGTTAGCCAACCAAAGCGCCAGCTACTGTGTAACCGCCCTAACGCTAAAACGCCAGCTACCGGTTTTCATTTTTAGGCGGCTACTGTGCGAGGCAAGAGAGACAGATGTATCACCAACCACGGCACTGGATTTACCATCGCCGGGGGGACCACACCCTCCCCCACCCCTGTTACACACGCGAGTCACGAGAGTGGATGAGAGAGACGATTGTTGATGCCGAAAAGAAGAAAAAGGGCTACCAATGCCGTTGAAGGATTCAACATACCCTTTGCTTCTGATAATGGAGGATTGCTCAATACTTAAACCTGCACCATCATTAACTAATTAATGTGAAAAGTCACGGCTACTGCCGATAATCATCATCTCTGGGTAAGTGATTTTCCAAAAATTGGGGGATGATTGATTGTTCTAATGGAATTGGGAAAACTCAGATGATGACCTGAAGAGTGGATAATTGACCGCAACGAATTTCAGTTTTCATGGATCACTGACCAATTACCTCAGAGATTATTGTTAAATGAAGATAATGGGGATGGTTGCACCCCTGTTTCTTCAATAATTAATCATCAAAGTGGAAATAGTCAAGTGTCGCGACGCATGAGGGAAAAATTTTTGTGATGTACTCACCGGTGATGATCAGCGAAAGTCTTTTTGATTATCCTGAAGATCTTCGTTAATTCCAAATGATGATGGATTGATTGATTGATGAATTTTAGCACACGAAATGGAAAATCATCGAACCGAGTACTAATCACGACAATCTGATCCAATTGGCAAACAGGGGAGTGATGTTTGATTATTTAAAATCCAATAAAATAGTAGAAAGTGCCTCTTGAACAGGTCTGGACCGTTTGGGCGCACGGAGTAGACTGAACCTTCGGACGGTTCTGGCGGGTCCGGTTGGCTGGTTGCTGCTCCTCTGGGGGCTTCCAACGCTTCTTGGTACTTGGTAGCCCGAATATAGTAGACACCCGAAGACAGTAGACCGTTCCCGCGGTGTGTAACGCCAGGCTAAAAACAGAACTGAGAGAGGTATAAAACATTCGTTGCGGGGGAGAGAGGGAAATGTGTCTTCAAGCCTTGGGGAGAAAAAGAAAGATGGAAAAACGAGTGAGGAAGGCAACAGAGGGAGAAGAGGACGGCGAAAAATTGACAGTGGAGAGGGAAGGGCTTGTATTTGCGAGGGGGAGTGAGAGGTGCCTTATACCAAAGGGGGTACCTCCCTACCGAACTCGAGCGACTCCTTCCCTTGATCGGTCGCAGGGGGCTGAGCCCCCCCACAACACCGAAAAAAAAAAAATGAAAAATAAAAAAAAAGGAGACAAACTTACCTCTGAATTTCCGTGCTGGTGCGAATGATGGGTCAGTAGTTGGAGATTCCCCTCTTCTTATCTCTCCTTTTTTTATTCATCTCTTCCTCAGGGTCCTCGAATAGCAGTCGAGCTCACTCACAAATCCTTTGGAGTTGGCTGGCTTCTTCGTTTGGCTCCCGCATGTGGCAGGATAGCCATGCGCAATAGCTTGCTTCCCCCCTCCCCCTTGCATTCCACATGGGGCCCTATCGTCCATCCTTCCCCACCACTTGGGGCCCCTGCGTACGGGGACCCCGCCTTCTTGGCCGGGGCCTCAGCATCCCTCTTCCGAGTACCTTTTTTTTTCGCTTACTCTCCCTGACTATGGGATTGTACAATTTCTTAGGGAGCTGGTCTGCTACATGTCGGATTTGGATACTGAAAATTGGTAGACTCGGTATCACGATGGGGTTCTACTACCCCCCGCCGAGGGGCGGTAGCTGGATATTGGTAGCCTTCAGGTACTTGTTGTCTAAGGATTGAGAAGCAACTAATCATTTCTGGTAAATTCTTTGCTGAGGGGTCGTAAGACCCCGAGTAATGGACTATTTGGATTAGTGCTGAAATAGGTGAAAAGTCAGAGAGACACAAGTAAGTGAAAGGGAGGATGGGGAATAAATTGACGAGGTGGCTCGTACATATTAGTGTATAACTGAAAATACGGGAGATGGAAAAAGAGAAAGGTATTCGTTTCGTCTCTCTGGGCCTGCATGGGGGACTTGAAAAGAGAAATACGTGTTTGTGCGGGGGCCGTGCTCCAACAGTTGGAGTTTGCCGCAAGGGTTCCCAGGGCACGTGGGAAATGCACAGTAGTCCACGTCCAAGCGCCCCCCTTCTAACCCCCCACCCGTTAACCGTGCCCCTCTGGGCCCCCCCTCCTCCTAGTGCTGCCCCCACTTCGATTATTTTGCGACAGGGTCGGCTCCAGCGCACACACACTTTGAGGTTACCTTCCTCACTCCCACCTTCAGCGGTTTCCTCAGCAGCATCACGGACCAAGAGATGAATTCAAAAGGGGGTTTTACCCGGAATAAGGAGGGGAAGTGAGAGACAACTCGTGAAACGACAGAGATAGATAATACTGAAGAGCGGAGGCGGAGGCCACGCCCATCGCCATCACGAAACGTGACGATTGGCTGACTGCATCATTCCTGAATATTGAAGTGGTGGGGAGGCAGCTGAATGTCGTTGATTTAGACTTGAGGATCGCCGGAAAGTGAGGAAGCAGTTTCCAGGAGGATGATGGACCTTTTGGTATCAATGGAGGTTAGCTCCAATCCACCTAACCCCCAAAAGAATAAATTCATGAATCAGTCGACTGTGAACCCCTGGGGTAATCACAATGATGGGTTCATTAAAAACTTGTGAACAAGTGATCCCGTATTATCTACAGGCTGAACATTCCAGCCACCTACCAGTCGCCATTTTCTTTATAATCCCGTCCAATCTTTACCCAAGAATCTTCTTCGGTGTGCGACTTACCCATGGATTATCGTATATCCACCCCCGCGTCGCTGCAGACGTGACCAAGAATCATCCCGGTAATGAACCTTCCTCTCTCGTCGTATGGGAATAATGGTATTGCCTCGGGCAGCTTCCGCCATTGCCAGAGAGGGGCTCCCATACCCTTGGATAATGTTTTATATATGTGAGACCAGTGATTTTTCGTCACGGCTCTTCGCTCCCCTCTCTCTTGATCACTCTTTTGTCTTTATTCAACATAACCTCACTTCGGGGTTCATTCTTGGCTTGTTTCTTAGGTTATAGCGGGTGTGGGATAAAAATGTGGTTTCCCTCCGTGCATCCAGGCCCCCCCTCACTGCCCCCTCCCACCCCTCCATGCGAGACGAGGGCACCGGCAATCCGATCGGCCAATTTATTCCGCGTGAGAAAGTCAGTTTGATTCTTCGGGAGAGGTTAGTTTTTTCTTTTTGCGTCTTCCACTTTTTCTGGAGTTTCTTTTGTTGGATTTTCTCAGGGTAAGAGGGAGGGGGGCACGACTTTGGTATGCAAATGGAGTTTCTAAAAGTGTAACGAAAGCTAATTCATGGTCTATTAACTCCTCCGAGTGCTTTTTGGAGGCATTTTATTTTTATAGTTCTGTTGTGAAAGGTATTTGGACTGCGTGTCATCGCCTCCCATTGTCGAGGGATGATTGCGTACACAAAGACCCACATGCCGGCATTATATCAAAAAGTGTCTTAGTCAATGGCTCTTGTAGGTACATAACCTCGTTCGGGTAATGAGGGACAATGATGTCTTGGATAAAGAGAGAGTATGTGAAACCGAAATCGAATGACGAGGGTCTCTTTTGTATTTTATCTTTGTTTGAGATTGTGGGTGACACATTCCACACGGTGAACACGGCGTTGATCTCAGAGATGCCGCCATGTTTACTGGGATGACGAAGAAGTGTGCGGAGGTTATGCGTAAAATGGGCCCCCGCCAGGAAACGGAAACCGCGGAAACGCGATGAATGGGTAAATAGTCACTAGGACCGGTTTTCAAGGAATATTACAATGGCAAATAATGAGACACGGACTATCAGTCAATCCCACTATTTCTCGTTTAAGGTGATTAAATATTGTCACTGCTGGAATTCTCCATATTTCTCATATTTCCCTTTCGTTATACGGCTTTCGGGTAAATAGATGATAACGAGAGGTGATTAAAGGAGGAAATTAGCGGCTAGTTGAGAGTTTCGGACACTTCCGGTCTTTGGACAGATTTTTATTTGTGGCCATTGAATTGATGACTCACACAGATTGTATAGTGAAAATCACTAAAATCATTAAAATCACTAAAATCTCCCGCATCATTACCACTCGTCCCTAATTACGCAACAATTTGTTCTTCAGTCATTCGATTCCCGATATCTAGTCGAAATATTAGTCGCGCGGGCGCATGCGCAATCCCTCGCTTTTTACAAGCGGTTGTTTACAAATACAAGGAGCACCAATAGATTTCTATCAAGAGATATCGAACGTTCGTGACACGTTATATGAATTGTAAAATAATTTTTCATGCTGATTTTTTTTTGGTTAAGTGACTCGTCAGTTTTTGTTTGACGACAGCATACAGGAAGTGTGGGCCCATCGATGGGAAAAGAGTTGAGAAAATTTTTGCAGAAGGGCCTTACGGAGGAGGTGGGCGGGTCCCCTGGGGACACATGGGGGACTCCCGAGACGATGATAATATCTGTCCCCCTCGTAGGGCGGCGAACATCAAAGACACAAAGTTACGTTTCCTCTCTTCTCTACCTCCTCCCACCGCCTCCCATACTGTCACACAGTTTACCTCCCCCTCTCTATCATTACATGGCTTTGAAATATTTTCTGTAATGGCTGCGCCGCGAAGATTTTGCAAACTAACCTTAAAAAAAAATTGTCATTTTTTTTAAACAATTATACCGATTTTTTTTATATGTTCATAATATTTTTATTGAGTGTGTTAGCTTGTTACGACTCTGATATGGAATAAAGAAGTTTGTGACTTTTTATGAATTTAATTTGCAAATAAATTTTTAATTCCCTCCTTTTTATGAGTTTATGATTTTCACCCCGACTTCGGAACTATTTGGGCCTTGTGAGGCCCCCGGGGCCCCAATATAGAGTGAGGACTCCAAGGAGTGGTGTACCCGGCTTAAACGATATTTTTGCGAGGCGTTTTATTTATTTTTTTTTTTGGTTTTTTGGGGGTCCAAATGCCGCACCTTTAGGGCCTCATGTGCAGAACCTTTTGCTCCGCCCGAAACACGAAGAAATTGCGGGACAAAGTTTATTGCGACCACCGACACACATGGGTTTGAGGGCGAGGGACTTTTCTCGGCGTGGGCCTTTTATTTCACACTGGAGCGAATTTTTTTTTCGGGAGTAAAACTCCAGTCTGTCCCATTTTTTGGGGGTTGTGCGCGATTTTCTCGTTTCGACCGGAAGACAGCGCTTTGCAGACGCGACGCGATCTATCAAGTTTTTATGATTATTTTTTCCGTTCAAATTTCAACCAATAGGATGACACTATTTGATCTAACTACTCAATATTCAACTGATAATTTTTTGATAATTTTTGGGACCTACAGATATGAAGGAAACAACTGTTGAATCCAGTTGTATTGATATGAAATTGATAAATAATAAAATAATAATGATAAAGATAATAAAACGAATTAAACAATAAAACAATAATAATAATAAATAAAGAATGAAATAATAATCATAAAAATAATCAAACAAATTAAATAATAAAATAATAATTTAAAAATCCAGTTATATTGATATGAAATTGATAAAAAATTATCTCCGGAATAAAAATCGATTTGAAAAATAAAGGATATTTCCCGCTTATAATTTTTTAACTTAAAAAACTTGACACGTTCACTCGCTTGCAACGAACCTATCAGAAAATATCCGATAATTTCGAAGCTCTCGTGGTATTGCAAGTGAAAGTAAAAATCAAAATTGATTTTAATTTTCTTGTGCCTCAGATTTTCGTCAACGAAAAATATAAACAATTAATATATCATTCAATTTTGGGATTAATCAGTCAGACAATGAATTCTCATATATATGAATACAAATTTCAAGTCCGAACTATTATATCTTTCCGGAATTTCGATCAGAAAAACTGTAATTTCTTAAATTATCTTGAGAAAATTAATGATTCTGTCGAAGACATTCACGAGAGACAACAGAATACCTGAAAAATCTGAATTGAATGCCGGAGTAATTGATCATCATGACGCGAGTAAATTTAATTACCAGAAATAAATTTAATTACAGATTTTTCTTCGAATCCTGAAGTAAATAATTCCTAGGTAGCCGCAAGGTGAAGTGGAGTTACTCATTCACGAAGTGTTTTGTTGCTCTAGGGCGAGTAAAATAGAGCGGGCCCCAAGAAGCGCAAGGCCCAACACGTCATTCATCAGAGCAACTCCCACGGGCCCATTCAAGAATTAAATCCCCCGCGTTTATCTACATCTCTTACCCGAAGAAAATGATGTTGGACATTTTTTAAATAAAAAATCGTCATCGAAAATGCGTAAATAGTCGGTGGATTACGGTAATACCATTCAATTTACGCATTACGCATTTCTTGGTAACAAAAGCGTACAATTAGTCTGACTTGTACTTGAAGATTTTCCGAGAATTGCGATAAAAATAATTGTCAACTCCTCGTGACAAGGGACCGTCCGCTTGTAAAGACAAAAGCCTATTGTACACACAATGGAGAATAGTGAAAAAAGAAAATGGGAAGGCCATTTGCAATGGCGGATAATTACCCTGACATTATTGACATCTAAAATTCCGTCTTCATCGAGGAAAAAAATTGGATGAAAATAGTATTTCACGGACGAATACAATATGTTACAATATGTTACAATATCCTACAATATCCTACAACATCCTAAATCATTCGCAAGGAATTATGATTTACCTGGAGATACGGAAGAGTGACACACCAGTGTTGACACGAGGATTCCACTGTTAGGCCGAAAATATTTTCACAAAGAGCAGCCGATGCCGACACTTGGCTTTATCATACCCAACATTCAAACACATAGAGAAATCCCAAATAATGTATACACTAAACACGAAATAACCGAGATAAAGCTCTCTGTGTGTGTGCAAACTGTCCAAGTGATGCGGACTAGAATAATTTTTCGTTGACTTTTTTTTTTCACTCGGGAATTGAGTTTGAGTTGTTAAAGTCTTTAAGTGGCGCATGTGTACCGAGAGATGAGAATTCACGTCATAAAGTTTCACAATGCCGACACTTTTGACTTGCATTGAATATCACCCCGATAAAACGTAAATTCTTTCATAATCCAGTGGAATTGAGAGAAAAATGGTATTTCCTTGTCACCTCAAAATTTTTACTTCTCATTTTGCATTTTTATCTCTGATTAAAGCGAATAGTTGTCATGAAAAAATTGTTATCGGTAAAAATTAGACTCAGATTGATTTCACGTGTTGAATGCTTGGAGAATAATAATAAGTAAATAAATAAAAATATCTTGGAGAGATTTTTGATGGGCAATCGATGACAATTGTAACAAGACCATTAATTCCAAAAATATCCTGGAAATATATTTCACACCTTGTGCCCCATAAAATGTCCCTTAAAAAAATATCTACTTCATTTTTTGTCGTTTATCGAAAAAATTAGCATTAACAAGGATCTTAGGTGGCCCCAGCCATTGAGAAAAGGTAGGTGGCTGCAGTTTTTACGAGGGAACCGGGTGGTAAGATAGTGGCTACTTCTTTATCGGTATAAACCTCGATTCCTTTCGAGCCACGCTGCCTTTTTTTAGACCTAATCGATGAGACAAAGAGGGAAAATACTGTAATCCATTGGGGAGCCATTTAAGTTTTGCCCGCGCACGGAGGTCCGTTTCCTATAATGTTCAACGGTCTTAAGACAGCAAAATAAAAGGAGGGGGCACATGGGTGAGTGCGTGGGCGAGGAAACGATATGAGGACTTTAAAATCTTTACCCATTCAAATCCCCCCTGGCCCCTTTCGCCTTTGGTGGAATGTAAATTCAGTATTATCATCTTTCACTCGAGTCCGGGCGGTCATTTCATCATTCATTGATAATGATTTTTTTTTTTATTTTTGGGGAGAGGGGAGATGACCAAACTTGATCATTTAGAGGAAGCTACATGCCCAAAGATTTTGGAGTTACATCATTTATTTATATTGGAGGAGAAATCCAGCAAGAATTAGACCTCCAGGTGTAATGTGGAGTATTAGTGACATCCTGTCAGTCATTTCATTTTTCTTTCCTTTTTTAATGATAATGATTTTTGAAAATGTGAGGATGCTGGGGAGATGGGCAGACTTGATCATTTAAAGGAAGCCGCACACAGAAGAAATCATGGATTTTAATCAATACCATTTGTTTATTTAGTGATCATTCGTTGATGGAAGAATTCATTACGAATTAGGTCAGGTGGTGGAATTGACGAATTGAGATTTAATTCATGGTCATTATCCTTCACTCAAATCCTGCTGTTTCATCACCCAATGATGATGATTTTGAAAATTTTTATCGGGGTCGGAGAGATGGGCAAACTTGATCATTTAAAGGAAATAACACCCTGAAAAATCGATGGGCGGAACAAAAATGTAAGAACAATCCGAAATTATAATCCAACAAATATTGCAGAAACACAATTTCGATCAAAATAAAAATATATATATGAAACTTTATTCTAATTTGAAATAAATAAATGCTTCATCTCACAAAAATTCACCGAATTGATAATAAATTTCTGAGAACTGGAAAAATTCCAAATTCTTTATTTCATTCAAAAATTCATTCTTCTGACTAAATATTTAATTAAAAAAAAAACATTTTCTTATGAATTTATGATTCAGAGACAGTTTTTTTAGTAATTTTTTGCTACAATTGAAGCAAAAAAGTAAGAATGATCTTCACAAAGGATTCACGAAACTTTTTGCGTTCATATTGACCCAATGATAATCAAGTTCAAATCGACTGAGGAATTATGTGTCAATGACGTCACGTGAATTACCATAACGACTTCTTCTGTCAACTGAATAAACGAGAGAAAATTTGTACAGCATGGAGCCAGTGAACTGGCAGTTTTGCTTTGTCACGGTGCATAAATCATTGCACTAATACATGCTGATCATTTCTGGTTTGGTTGTTGGAGAAAACGGGGGGTGGGTGATCAATTGGTACATGCTATTATGAGATATGTCTCTACACAAATGTCAGAACGATTAATGCCTCTCGTAGGTCATTCAAAACAGTCACCAGATAACTACTTCGATTGAATTGACACGCAGCGGGTGAGATTGTCAATTTTATCTTTGGATTCAGTCATTTTTTTTTCCCGCTATTTTCCCGTCGGTATTTTAAATCAGTAACAATTGCTCTTAGAGAATTAACCAAATTTAACTTTTCCTAACTGCAAATTGTTTATAGCACATGTCATTACGTGTTATTTTAAAAAACCATTCGAAAATATCGAATTTACCGTAAATTCAATGAATTTTCAGTGAAAGAACCGAAAATTTCACTCAACACCTCAATGAGAGCTGCACCATTGACTTTAATAATAATTAGAGCAAGATAATTTCTTGGCACTCAACCGAATCTTGTTACAATCAAATAAATTTATTCAATAAATCTACCCATTGTAAAATCGTCTCGTTTTACCACACAATAAAAAAAATTTTCGCTTGTAATTCATAAAGTCTGAAATTAAAACATTAAAATAAACTTTCCTCAATTTTTATCGATTATAATTCCCGTAAAACAATCAGTACTCCGGGTAAATAATAGACGCCAATTGCATGTATTTTGTGGCTTCATATAAAAAATATGAATTATATAAAAAATAATGAACTAGTAAAACTGAAAAATTTTGAAAAACCGCGAAAGCTTTTTTCATTTTTCAATTTATTGGACCATTTGACTTGCCTAGAGGCCATCTGCCAGATTTTTAAAGAAATGAAATAGTTTGTAACGTTCGTTGATAAGTTACCGAAGGGTTTCTACTGGATCATCAACGGATATTAATTACCATCAATCGATAATAGCGCCACTGATTCATTCTCAATTCTTACGTGCCAAAATGTACCGTCCAACTGACGAATGTGTAATTCCAAATAAATACGTAAAGCAGCGCAAAGTTTTACTAGATTCGTCAGTTAGACTGTGCGAGTAAAATATATTGCGTTCCGTCGCGTCCACTGCGTTTTGTTAATAATTGTTTATTGTGTCTTGCAGTGGAAATTGGAGAATCGGAGTTACTCGAGGAATTGTAGGACAATTGTTTTTCTACTGATTATTGGAAAGTGATAAAAATGGTGCGGAGTGGAGACAAGTAAGTGTTGGAGTTGATTTTCCAAATTTTTAGGTTAAATCCACGTAAATGTAACGAATACTTTTTCCCTTGATTTTCTAAATAACAATCGATGCAGCATAAATGACACCTTTCAATAGAAAAAAAAAAGTTATCCAGTTTGAGTTGGTGATAAGTTCTAAAAAAATGTTTAACTACTTTTTTTAAATAAAGAATTTGATCTCGATGTTTCCAAAAGAATTGTGAATTTGGAGATAAGAAAAATGTAGATGTTTGGATTCTAATAAATTAATTTTCTTTCGTTAATTCTTGTAATCAAAGTTTCAGTTCTTCAATTAAATAATTCTAGTTAATAACAATTCAATAAGTTGTCACATAACTATTTATTAATGTCTTGAAAAAATTAGTTGTACAAATGAATCGAAATTTTCATCAGAAAATATGAAATTTGAAGTCAATAATAAACATTACATTTTGTAATAAATGTTCGCCCCATTTTTTAGGGCTGAGTCCCACAAATTTGATCGCATTAAAATTACACTGGAATTTAAAAAAATATTTCCATGAATGGATAAAAGATTTCGCTTTTCTATTTAAATTATCTGAAAATGAAAAGCATTGATCGGTGTATAAATTATAGAACATCATTTGCATCGTATTAATTAATTTATAGCATTTAATTATATAATTTAAACTATGAACTTAATTCCCTCCGAAAACGTTACGATAAAAAATTTTCCTGTAATTTTTATTCATCTCCAGAAAATTTGAGATAAAATCAAGTTTTAAAAATAATAGAAAACTCCATTTTTTCGGTATCAAGAATAAATAAATTATTGTTTTCATGTTAAAGTATAAACTATTAAAAAATGCTAATGAGTCCTCGAAATTTCAGAGAAAGACATCACAGAAGGCGTTCAAGGTCTCGTTCTCGTTCACGTTCACCATCGCCGGAGAAAAAACGAAAACGATCGCGAAGTAGAGATCGTGATCGCGAACGTGAAAAATCGACTCGTCACCGAGATCGACGGAGTCGTTCCAGGGATCGAGAAACGCGGAGAGATCGATCAGAGCGAGATCGAGATCGAGATCGGAAACGAGGTGACAGTAAAGAAAAACGCGTAGAATCCTCGAAATCCTCCCGAGGAAAAGACCGGAAACGTTCTCGATCGCGTGATAAAAAAGACAAAGAGAAAGTTGATAACGAGGACTTGCCATTCGACCACACAAAACTCGATAAAGAGGAGGAGCAAAAACGCCTAGAGCTGGAAATGCAAAAGCGACGAGAGAGAATCGAGAGATGGCGTGCAGAGCGCAAGAAGAATGAGCTAGAGGCGACGAAAAAAGATGGGAAGTCCTCGATTCTCGCTAATCTCCAACTACCGATGAAGAAGTGGTCGCTGGAAGACGACAGCGACGAAGAGACACCACTTCCGGTCCCTCCGAAGGACCCGAAGGACGAGGACGAAGCTAAAGAGGAAGAAGAAGTAACGGAAATGGGAAAACCCGAAGAGGACGAGATCGATCCACTGGACGCTTTCATGGCTGAGGTGCAAGAAGAGGTCCGCAAGGTCAATAAATTCGAGAAAGGTAAGTCAAATACCAACGGCGCTGCCGGCAATTCCCAGAGTGGTGGTGTAGTATTTGTAACTGGCGTTGCCAAGAAGAAGGTCCAGAAGCAAAAGGGCGAGTTGATTGAGCAGAATCAAGACGGTCTGGAGTATTCCAGCGAGGAAGAGGGGGAGAACCTCCACGAGACAGCTGCGGGAATCGCGAACAAACAGAAACGGGAACTTGCTAAAGTAGATCACGCGACAACCGAATACGCCCCCTTCCGGAAATCCTTTTACGTTGAAGTTCCGGAGATCGCGAGAATGACACCAGAAGAGGTTGAGGCGTACAAAGAGGAACTCGAGGGGATCAGGGTTAAGGGCAAGGGCTGCCCCAAGCCGATAAAGTCCTGGGCGCAATGCGGCGTGACGAAGAAAGAGCTCGAGGTCCTTAAAAAATTGGGATACGAAAAACCAACGCCGATACAGTGTCAAGCGATATCCGCGATAATGTCCGGTCGGGATTTGATTGGAATCGCAAAGACAGGTAGTGGAAAGACACTCGCCTTTCTGTTGCCGATGTTCAGGCATATTTTGGATCAGCCACCGTTGGCCGATGGCGACGGTCCTATTGCCCTCATTATGACACCCACTAGAGAACTTTGCATGCAGATCGGCAGGGACTCAAAGAAGTTTACAAAGTCTCTAGGATTGAGTCACGTCTGTGTGTACGGAGGCACCGGAATTTCCGAACAAATCGCAGAACTCAAACGCGGCGCTGAAATCATCGTCTGCACACCCGGTAGGATGATTGATATGCTTGCAGCCAATTCGGGAAGAGTCACCAATTTACGTAGAGTCACTTACGTAGTTCTTGATGAAGCTGATCGAATGTTTGACATGGGATTTGAGCCCCAGGTGATGAGGATCATGGAGAATGTTCGACCGGATAGACAGACTGTTCTGTTCTCGGCGACGTTTCCTCGACAGATGGAGGCACTGGCTCGGAGAATTCTCACGAGACCGGTTGAGGTTCAGGTTGGAGGGAGATCGGTTGTGTGCAAGGATGTGGAGCAGCATGTGGTGGTTCTGGAGGAGGACCAGAAGTTCTACAAGCTGTTGGAGATTCTGGGGCATTACCAGGACAAGGGCTCGACCATTATCTTTGTTGACAAGCAGGAAAACGCAGATACGTTGCTGAAGGATTTGATGAAGGCATCCTACTCCTGCATGTCGCTCCATGGGGGGATTGACCAGTGCGACAGAGACTCGACGATGATCGATTTCAAGGCAGGCCGGACGAAGATTCTGGTGGCTACGTCGGTCGCTGCCAGGGGTTTGGACGTCAAGCAGCTCGTGCTTGTCATTAATTATGATTGTCCGAATCATTACGAGGATTATGTGCATCGCTGCGGAAGAACGGGACGGGCTGGGAACAAGGGGTACGCTTACACCTTCATCACGACGGAACAGGAACGTTACGCAGGAGAAATCGTCAGGGCTTATGAACTCGCTGGGGTGCCTGTTCCGGAACCTCTGAGGATTCTCTGGGACAGGTACAGAGCCAAACAAGCCGCTGAGGGAAAGAAACTACACACCGGTGGAGGATTCAGTGGAAAGGGCTTCAAGTTCGATGAATCTGAGGCAGCACTTGCGAATGAGAAAAAGAAGTTTCAAAAGGCTGCGTTGGGACTCCAGGATTCCGATGATGAGGATATTGAGAATGATATTGACCAGCAGATTGAGAGTATGCTGGCGCCCAAGAGAACTGTCAGAGAGATCGCTAGACCTTCTACCAATAGTGTCAGTGTTCCTGGACAACCGGTGAGCAGTGCCACTGATAAGTTGGAGTTGGCGAGAAGGCTTGCGTCCAAGATTAATATTGCCAAGAATCTGGGGGCTGAGGCCAAGGGCGCAACGCAACAAGCTGCTGAGGCTATACTTAAGGGCGCAGGACCTACCAATTTAATTACTGTGAGTATTTTTGAGATTCAATTTAAAGACTCCATCGAATTTTCGGTAACATGTCTAGCATTCTGAAAGTTGCGAGTTCGATTCCCCGTTGAATCGAATTTTTCAACAGGGATCGGTGAGAGAGGTTGTTAATAGAGCAACCGCCTGTACCGACATGGTTTTTCCTGTGATTTTCCATGTGACTTGAACCACAAACCACAGGAGAAAACATTGAGAATCCGCAAAAATATTTGAACCTGATACCGAATTTCCCAGGCTACATATCAATGATTTTGTTAATAAATTTTGAATTTTCAGGCGAAAACCGTGGCGGAACAACTGGCAGCCAAACTCAACACAAAATTAAACTATCAACCTAGGGAAGAGGACTTGATCGAGGGTGAGGGTGAGCCTGGTGAGCAAACCTTCAGAAAATACGAGGAGGAATTGGAGATCAATGATTTCCCACAACAAGCAAGGTGGAGAGTAACGAGTAAAGAGGCTTTAGCACAAATTTCTGAATACTCAGAGGCCGGCCTGACAGTCAGAGGTACTTATATTGCCACAGGCAAAGCTCCACCTGAAGGTGAACGAAAATTATACCTCGCCATCGAATCAACAAGCGAATTAGCTGTCAGTAAAGCCAAAGCCGAGGTATCAAGGCTAATCAAAGAGGAACTCATTAAATTACAGTCCTCTGGGGCACACACAGGCTCTCGGGGTCGTTACAAAGTTCTGTAAAATAAATTTTTACATGTGCAGTAAAGCAATGACTAAATATTTCTTTGGACAAGACTTCAATTGATATCGTATAAAATATATTGATCTACAGCTAATCGTAAATATTTTCTCATATAAACACTTAAATTATTTATATGTACATTACACGGATGAGCATGTGGACATTTGATTTTTATTGGCTCTTCGATCATTGTAAAAAGAAGATAAATTAGTTCGTTACGTCTTTGGCAAATTATTGATAACTATCAAGAAAGTAACTAATTTTTAATAAAAACTTGATCAATGATTGAGTCATTGTTTCTTTAAGTAAGGCACTAGAGGAATCACAGTCTTAAGAGCGTGAATGTCCCAAAACGATGGAATTATTCATAGTTTTGGGACAAACGAGATGATTACACATTTACAAAGAAAACAATTCTTGTTTGAAGGTAAAATTTCTTATTCGAGAGAACCCCCTTTGATATTATACAAAAACTTTTGATAAAAACGGGACTCACGCCATTTTGGGCTTAGTGCGGAGTTCAAGATTTTGACTACCAAAGTAGCTTCTTAGTAATTCTATTATTCGGACGAAAAAGTTTTGAAATTAAGAATTTTTCAGATTTATCGGGAAACAAGAGATTTGTCCCTCGAAACAAGAATTATTTTTTCTTTGTGTTACGTAATAATTCCGACGATTAAGAATGGCAAAAGAAGAAGAAGCGTCAGTGTCCGCCATGTTGACGCTGATGACGGCTTTTCGTCAATCATTTCTCCGCCTGTTAGGGAGCCCAAAGGCACTTCCGTCATTGCTTTTGGACTCTTCTCTGCGATTCTAGTGACTATTTTCTCTAACTCAGCGAGACACGCGCGATGCTCGAGCAGCGATGGAGATTTGGAGGTTGGTTGGATGATGATGAAGACGTCGCCCTCTGGTGTCATTCCTCCACGAAGAACGCATTGGGATATTTGGATTTGACGACCTAGGGCTGTTAGGAGGGACTCTAAAGTCACGGCGTCTTTGTCTCTTTCTTCGTCCATCATGTAGTATATTCGATCCACCTGAAACAGAAAGAATTTGATTTTTGATTTTCTAGGATTATCTGAAGACCATTGATGATTTCCGACTCGACAACTGATGTGCGATATTTGGAGAAGGAAAGGGCCTTTTTTTCAAAATTGACGTTTTCCATCAATCAGAGATTGATAGGCCCTAGGCCTATCCTGATCTTCGATTACATACCAAGTCCGGAAACATTTGTTCATTAAAATAAGACAATTCTTACCTGCTTCCTAGAATAAAACAATCTGGCAGCAGCTCCGCATACTCTGCAGCATGCGCCAGGTGGAATAACCCCAGGACAGCCTTCAGGAATATCCGGACACTTGACGGCTTCCCCACAGCCCTCCCCAGCCCGCCCAACCGCCATACAAGGCCCAAAATAATCCATAATAGTATTCTCGGCCCACGCCGCGCACTCATTAGCATAAACCTCGCCATTGATCCCACACACTGGGCCCCTCAGGCTGCAGTCCCTCAAACAAGGCCCCCAGTAGCCGATAGCCCCTCCACTCTTCACCAAATCACAAACTGACTTGTGCTCTCGATGATCCTTATCGCAAACCGGCCGTTCCACTGATCCCTTCCTCCTGACCTCACAGTTGGATGAGACACACTCATACTGTTTGCACGGTTTGTAAATTGGGGCCAGACAGACCCTAGCCCTTCTCACACACTTTTCCCCACTGCCACAGGGATTCCCCGCACAGGGATCCCTAAATGAACAGCTACCGAACTCAAAGTCATCGTCCTCGAGGCCCCGACACTTAGCGATACATGCGGAGGCTAGAGTCACGCCGGATCGTCCGCAGACCGGTACGTAATGGGCTGGACACTCGCAGGGGAGTGATGGAAGACGTTGGTCCCCGCAGGGTCGTCTAGAACACGTTATCTCACCCTCGAAGCAGAGACAGGGCTTGCAGTCCAGGTAGAATTTCGTTCTGTGAGGGATGTATCGATTTTGAATGAAGCAGGAGTTGACGGGAAAGCAATTGAGATTGCGACATTTTTCGACACCATTTTGCGTGCACTGGCAGATTCTCAGGCAGCCGATCTGGTCTTCCCTCGGGATCTGTACCCACGTGTTCTGGGGTACGTGGAGATGTGACATCTCACCGAGAACACAACCTGGAAGGCACTCGTAGGCCGTCGAGTTGTCCGACATATTGTGTTGCGGAATGCACACTTCGGATTTTCCGCATGGCGAATCTCGACAGGGATTTGTGATCCGTCCCTTCTCAGGGAGAATGGGGCTGATGAAGGGTTTCAGGGAGATGCAGGGCATTTCGGGACGAGGAGGAGACAGGTGGGAGCAGAGGGAAATTGCGGATTGGGTGCCGGGTGTCAGGGACCAGTCCACGCAGTTCGTCAGAAGGTCGATGCAGTCGTTTCTACAGAGACGCGTTTCGTGAACTTGAGGCTCACACGGGCGAAGCTGAAGGAAGCAGACGGCTGCTTTGAGGGACTCGGCCGGGCAGGATGGGTCGACGCGGACAGGGACACCCAGGCCTCGAATTACGGCGCCGCGAGCCCAACGGTCCACTTCCTGTTTGGCCGTTATATCCGATTCCGCAGAGCAGGTTCTACAAATTACAAAATTATCATTCGGCAGGGCTCGAGAAATATCGGGACAGTTCGTGCAGCCTCCGCAGTCATTTTGTGTATCGCTTGTAGATTCCAAAATGGCGGTAGACTCGGGACTTGTTAAAATCGACATCACCAGTTTTAGACGTCATAATTCGATATATTGAATTTTACAATAAGATTTTTCAATCACAGATTCACGGATGACATACCTGAATAAAGTTGTCGGTCTGTTGTTGAAATTTGAGCAGTAGGATAGGCCAGTGCACCCCAGCTCGCAGGGTTCATCGGCATCCTCCAGACACCTTCTGAGCTCTCCTTCAGCACTCGCAGGAAGACACTCGGACTCCAGTTGAATCGACGCCGCTTCCCAGTCTGCCCGAAATGCCCGCCAACAAAGACTTTGACAGGTGGCGCTGGCAGCACGAGAACAACAGCCCAATTTACCGATGTCCAGGGGTAGCCTCGATGGTTTGATTGGAGATGCTTGGAGGAAGCAACTCCAGAAGGGCGAGTGCGGCTGGACTGGTGGACATTTTTCCTCCAGGGTGTCCAAAATATCTTTAATAGTCACTGCTGTCAGAAGGACGTGACGGCAGGCATCCAGACAGGGGGCGTTAGGTGCCTCGTGACAACACTGCAAATCTGAAATGAGATCAGGTAAAATATCCAGAAAGTCGATCCTACACGTGGGGAAGGATGATCTGCTTTCTAAAGCTGAAACAACAATTTCCCCCACTTCGGGAATCGGTTATTACATTGTTTTGGATTCTCTGCGTTTGGGGCGTCTGCCACATTCTTCAAGCACTTGGGCACCTGGTGGAAGCAGCCTTTGCTGCTGTATACCTTCAGGCTGGACGGCTTCTTCGGATTGTCGAACAATTCACGACAGACTGCTCGGCAGGTGGCGTTGGAGACGTTGCTGCAGCATTTCTCACCGTCTTCCCGTCGTTCTAGGCAGGTGTAAAATTCAGGCTCGTCACTTGGACGACATGAGCCTCTCAGGGACTCTCTGCTACCCGCGAGGGCGCAGGTCGACTGACAAATTGGGTATTGAGCTAGCTGACAGCACTGACGACCTGACCAATCCTCATTTTTTCTCGCTTCTGAAAAATCGAGATAGAGGTTATAAACATTAAATCAATATTTTAAATTGATTGCCAATTCATATCCAACAATTAATATCGTTTGCCAGATAATCAAGATAAGTTTTCAATTCTAAATGTATTGATTTCATCAAAAAAAGGTATGTATGACTGAAATTACATGAATTACATATTATTATTATTATTATTATTATTATTATTATTATTATAATATTGTAGAAAAAATGGATTCTCAACTTACCATCGAGGGTAGAATTGACGCACGTCCAAAATTGCGTCTGAAACATGAGGTGATGATGAAAAAAGAGAAACCATTGTCGGGAAAATTCAAAGGGGGCGATCAATTTTCAAAGTGATGGGTTTTTCGAATAAAAAAAAAATATCTCACCAATTCCATTGAACAGAACTCTTGCAATTGTCGAGAGGAATTCTCTCGGGCAATTGGATCGGCTCCCAGGGCCACAAGAGAAATCTGAAGAAGAAAAATTGAATAAAAATAGAGTCTTGAGTGAAAAAAATGATTTTGGCATTTTTGAAGGATTGGCTTGGTCATGCACCCCAGGGTTGAAGCAATATCCTGTTCAACCTCTGAATATCAATCGTAAAGAAATCACCTGGGGAGTGGAGAGTAAAGACGACGTACATTTTATTCTCTCACTTGATATTCGATGGACGTATGGGTATCTTGTTAGTATGTCTCACGTGGGTTTTTACAAGAGGTTTAGCATCTTTATTCTGGGCTTCTTCGGCATACAATGACGATGGGGGGAAATCGGAGGTCATGACTTAGTCACGCATTGGAGTTGAGTCGTTTATCTTCGGGGATCATCTTCGAGAATCGTGGAAATCGGATCGGGCAAGTTTGCTGGGACTTACTAATCTCTTCTAAATCAGTTCATAAATCAGTTCAATATATTTCTATGAATTTTAACTTGATATTTTAACACCGAGTGTACAGAGAGAAATATTCAATAATAATTACGTGTATTTTCCGTAATTCTGGAGCGAAATGTGGTTGTCGGAAATTTTACGGACTGTCACGTAATTTTTATCTAGAGTCACGGAATTTTTCTGAGGTGTTCCGTAATTTTTATCTGAATTATCAGTAAAAAATTACGATACAATCACTTAAATTTTTTGAATCGACTCCGTAATCGGTAAGTGAACGGAAAGTTCCGTAATTTTTACTAAATATTTCTCTCCGTGTACATTTGTTTGAATACATTTTATCTTATGTGGAACCTGAAGAGTAATACTGTGTACAACTTAATAGAGCGAAATTTTGTGAACAAATTTGATGTGCAAGTTTAAAAATCAAATGTGCCTATTTTATTTAATTGTTACATCTGCGCACAAACCTTCAATTATTTATAACTTTTATGGACATCACCCATATCTTGTCTTTCAGAATATTTAGTTTTCTTCTTTGACTTTAGTTTAAGGAGACTCTAATGAAGTTTAATGAAAATTTTCGCATCAATTTGGAAGCAATCCTATATTTAGAAGAATTCGATTTTGTCATGTGAATTTTGTGATGACGTGTATCGAGGTTTTGAAATATCATTTGTGGTCATGAAGTTCCTGAAAACAGAGGGGAGACCCTGAAGAATCCTAAACGCCTATTTTCATCACTGCGATATTCTTGGAGGCATGCCATGCCGATTTTTTGCTCGTACCGCAGTGTTTGCATTTGCTCGGGTGTTGAAAGTTCTAAAAACTCAATTCTCCATTTTGATTGAGGGTTTTTAATACTCCAAATGTAGGAGAGTATATATATTGCCGATTATTTAATTAAGGCTCGGGTGGATTATCTAGAAAAGATCATTTACTCCGAAATTCGGATTCCTAATTACTTTGGCAATTAATCGTTTTTTTTTTCAATAATTGTTAGCTAGCGTTCTAGCGGTTGTCAACAACTAGGCCGCTAGCTAACAATTATCGGAAAAAACGATTAATTGACGGAGTAATTAGAAGTCCCAATTTTGGAGTAAATTATCTTTTCCACA